TTATTCCAGTTCGTTAACGCTGTACAGACGTTTAAAGTGTTGTTTACGTGACGTCACAATGTAGCGCCAAACAGCACGTGCAAAACAATCAAATCAAGTTCGCTATTTAATGTCGCAAACGAGTTTAGTTTTACATTTATTTCACTTTTAATAATTTGTATTTCGCTTGGGGAAAATTATAAACTGAAATAAATAAACAAACAAAGTTGTATCAACGTTTTCAAAATTCGTTATTTTCAAAATGTTTCTACAAACGGTAGATTTAACAGTTTTTTTTTTCAACCCACTGGAACGGCCTCTAAAGAACGTTTCTATTGGGAAACTCTGAGGCGAAAACAAATTCAACCACCAAACATAAAGTCAACGTTATAATAAAAATTATATTTTTTCTTGACGTATTAGAATGGAAATAGATATCAATTCTTCGTGCATTATTGTATAATAATGCACGTTTTTCGTTCAAATGCTTTGTAATTAATCACTCAGGCCTATCGGCCTTCGTGATTATATTACTACGCATTTGAACTCAAACCGTGCATTATTCTACAACAATGCACTCAGAATTGATATCTATTTCCTAAATATGATATCGTATATGATTATAGAATTGTATGTTGTTGATAAATCATATAGACTGTAAAAATACAACATTAAATAGTCAATAACAATGACAAATTGACATGTTGCATGCTCGGTTAAGGCCTGTTCGTTGACAGCAGTGATACAGTCAGTTAAACCGTTATAAGTTCAATAGCTCAACTTGAGCATGTGTCATTGATGCTAAAAAGTGGCAATTCTTAAGGTGGTTCACATTGGAAATTGAAAATGTTGAAGGTTCGGTTTAGGTCGGGTCAAGGACGACAGTGGTAAATGTTTTCGTGCAGGCCTCAAAGCAATGTTCGACCATGAATGGTACCTGTGTGGCAAAAAGTACAAAATTAAATATGAATAGGTATAATCAAGTATTTCAAGTATATTTTTATTCGATAAAGATCATCATATATATCATGTATATCTTAATACATTTAGAACTTTTTGTTTTCAAGATTGGTACAAATACTAAATACAAAGTAATTTTATTAGATTATTTATAACTTTTTTACCAGCTGGTGACAGAATTGGTACTAAATCAAAAGCAGTTTTGTAAGTTTAATTATACGAATCAAGGTCTCGGCGTGTTTCCGGAACACAGATCCCGATATTTTCAATATCTTTACCTTGTACTGTAAAAGAAAAAGCAGTAAAATTAATTTTCGTAGTGCATGTTTAGAAGGTAAATCCCATAGAAGTAAAGTCTGTTTCCAGGCTTAAATGACGCAATATGCATGTTCTTAAGTAATATTTTGATATATCTTAATTACTGTATATATATATATATATTCGATGCATAAGTGCAATGGTAGATTATTAAAAGTTAAAGGTGTTTATGGATTTACCCATTTGTAAGTGTACAAATAAATGACATTGTTTTAATTATGACCAAAATGAATGATTTTAAGGTTGGGCTAAACGACACTTCAACATTGAGTCTTTCTAGCTTTAGTGGTGGAAGAAGACCTTATGTGCCTTCCATGCAGTACTCAGGCAGGGGAAGGCACCTGAGTAAAACCATCGATGTAAGCTGGTTGGGTTGCTTCAACACAAAAGAAATCAAACATCTTTGAATGTTTTTAAATTCAAAATTCCAAAATGTTCATGGTAACATGTTGTATTATTTATACTTTACCATGTTCCCGCAATAAAAAGAATGAATAAGAAATATCAGTTTATATGCATCGTATATTAAGGTATGACCACCCTAACGGGCAATTTAAGGAACTGAAAACTTGACAACATAAGTCATATATATACTTAAAAGGACAAATTAAGCACAAATTAAACAAATTTTACCGTACAGAAATCAAGTTATTGCCAATTTTTTTAACTTAAGCTAGGATGTTAGAGGGGCCCTTTTTCAGAAATAATGAATCTTTAAATAATCTACAATAACATCCTTATGGAAAATGTTTTCCAATTATTTTTGATAAGAAACAAAAAGTAACATTCAGCTAACAATCTGCATAAGAAAAGGATTGTTTCTATTAAAAATAAAATTTATGAAATGTATATAAACATTGTTACCCTTCCCCACACATTTTATCACGTGTTTGACCATTTTCCTACATAGAGAGCCTAACTTTAAAAAAAAATCCCTAAAATTTACCTAATTAAGTGCCTTTTTTCAAAATTTTCCTCATGTTTCCAAACGTATATGGAATAATCTTGTAAACTATTACTTTTACTGTGTACATGGGGTAGTTTTGATTTTATAACATATCAGGTACCATATTTGTTTTTGTTTTTTGTTTTTTGCCAAGAAATATCTATATCATTTAAATAATTATACAAAAACACTTCTTTATTACCCTTATACATGAATGATTTTTTTTTGGGTGAGGGGTGTTTTTGTTTTTTAAAATGAAAAAAAAAGTTGACCCTTCTGGTGTTTAAACCCACAGCTCTAATAGAGAAAATAGGAATTCCTAAAGAAAGTTCAAAACAGCAAAATTGAAATTTTGCATTCTCTGTTTGTACTTAATGTACTTCTAGCCTATTAAAATACCCTTCAAAGCGGAGGTAATGCATTAAGATGGGCATACTCTAATGAAGCTATATATATTCTTAACAAGCGAATTGCTAATTAACAATACGTATCATGAACAGTCATGTGTTAAGAGCAAAAAAATACTTCAAGTAATTTCTCTAAGGATACGACCATTGTAGCATCATTAGATATTCTTTAATCAACATATCCATATGATATCTGATTATCTAATAATTCCTTTTTGTGTGTGTTTTAAATCATTCACTTAAAGGTTTTTAAGCCAGACGGGCTTTCTTAATGTAAATAAGAGGTAAACAATTGTGTTCAACAGTTACGAAAAACATATGTTATTCTAAAACTGCTTACTTATATCACAATGAAATTTTGGACTGTGGAAACCCTTAATCTTTATTTACTCATTGGATTCAGTTTTAGTGAAGACTGGACGGACTCTAGTAAAACAGTGATGTATATGTTGTCAAATGTAAATGAGATATTTCAATGGGATAAACTTGTCACTATGCCGCAAGGGATGTCCTTATCTACATGTAAATATCATTGTTCAAGACGGTGCATTTTTCTACATTGAGAACAATCAAACGTGTCTGTGTAATTCGGAACATGAAAATACTGAAGGTCATGTAACTGCTGATGCCAATAGAGGCTTTATTTACGGAGTAAAGAAAATATGCGTTTTAACTTCGTACATTCAGGTAGGCATAACTAGTGATTTTGATACATTGTCTTATACGTGGACGGTAGTTTGCACATGACAGTACCGTTCATAAACAGGCTCAATCAAACCGAGCTTGCAACATTTTCAATTTTGCCGTGCTGGACTTTCTTTAGGGATTCTTATTTTCTCTATTTCATTTATTTCTGTCGTTTAAAACATCGTATTCAGATTATAAGCCTTGCCATTTTATGTCTGAGTAAAGTAAAACAAAAAAAGGTTTGCCTTTTCATTGTAAGCTTAAGTTATTTCAGGAAATTCTCAAATCATTTCCAACATCAACTGATAATGTTTTCGTTTACAGAGCTCAAATGAATTATACAATAGAATACATCGTCAACCAGGTGTCTTTGACTGTTTATCCCTTTATGAGCTGGGCTATGCCGAAGACGGTGTGTATGTTATTAAACTGACGGAAGGTGTGAATATTGACGTGTGGTGTGATATGTCCAATGGTGGATGGACTATTATACAGCGACGCCAAGATGGATCTGTGGACTTTTATAGAGGTTGGGATGAATACGTGGATGGATTTGGGAACACAACAGGCGAGTACTGGCTTGGTCTTAAATACATTAATATACTAACAAAAATTGGAAGTGAACTTTATATAGAAATGGAAACGTTTGAAAAAGATAATGTTTCACCCGCATCAGCTTATGCCGAATATTCCACATTTAAGATCAATGACGAGACTGACAAATTCAGGTTGTCAGTTTCAGGATATAATGGTAGCTGTGCGGATTCTTTGGCCTTTCATAACGGTTGGAGATTCTCCACGTTCGACAATGACAATGACGGAAAAGGAAGCGAAAATTGTGCTGTTGATTACAATGGTGCTTGGTGGTATAGAACGTGTCACGCAAGCAATTTAAATGGTTTGTATTTGGGAGGTTCTAACACAGAATACGGTAATGGTGTCGTTTGGGCCACGTGTTGGGACCAATATTATTCGCTTAAAGAAACCGTTATGAGAATACGACGGAAAACGTAAGGATTTGTAAAAAATGGCTATTATTTCAACGTTTTTTTTAAGTAAGATCGATATATCAAAACTTAGCTTTGCAACTGTGCAGGTCTTTGTAGGTTTGTTTAGCACATGTCAATTGGGTTAAGGACAAAAGCCTTTTCATCTGAAAATGACCGGTAAACTAGATAGGAGGGGTTTTCTCATACCCGTACATTTCATGGGAGAGCTTTTGACAATTAACCTGCATCAGTAAAGTAATGTTGCAGAAAGAGTTACTTTACTATCAAAATGTCGAAATGACAACAGCAAAAGTGTATTAACTTCATATACATTAATTAAGGATGTCTCGTGTTTCCAAATTATCAATATATGAAATGGTGCGCTGCTTGGTCACTATGCAATCGAAGTGCTATACGCAATTTGCAAAATACAGTTTTTTCAATTCATAACAATTAGCTTACTTTTTGGAATTGTCTATAGAAAAGGAAGAAGATTTTTTTAAATATCAGATGGTATAATATGTTGTTTGTAGGTAAATACATAATTAAAGTGATAAAAACATCTGGATTTGCATTGACTAGAAAGCGGGCATAACACCGAGTATATAAAACTGGAATTTTAAAGGTTACATAATGTATGTATCAAGACCTTTTACTTTATCTATCAAGAGAATAGTTTTTTTAATCATTTAAGTTCCATCTATTTTGTTCCATCTATTTTTAAGATGTATATATGTCAAGCAAAGTGATAGCTTTTTTGTAATGTTATAGTAAGGCAGTTTGTTTGTTATTTTAAGAAAAGACCAACTTTACTTGTCCTTTTAAAGGGAACGCCTGACCGCCTCCGTGGTCGAAGGGTTAGAGTCGATGATTTCTAATCTCTGGCGTGGCTTCGATCCCCGGGAGATGCTTTGGTAGTCGTCTAGCGCGGAGGAAGGTAGTCTAGTACTGGTGTAACTCTCCAGGAACTACCCGCCTATATCACTGAAATACTGTTGGGAAAAGGCGTAAAATGAAACAAACAAACAAAAAATAAAGGGAACGCCATTTCGAATACATATTTAATTCATTTTTTTTATTCCAATTAGACATATTCAGTAAGGATTTCATAGGTTTTAACAAATTTCTTTGATTGAAAAATTTTACTGAAAGATGAACATAGTATATATTTAAATAAAATAAAAGGTATTTGAAAAATATCAAATCTTATTGAAGTGTATCCTTTAAGCATATAAGCAACATGATAGTGCCACTTTTCACTTTGAGACACACAAATATCTCAGAATTGAATTGATGGTCCTGCAAGTGAGTTCGGTCGTGTTTAATTTATCAGCTCTATAGGCATATTTTCTTTCGTGAGAGTCACGTAATAGTCCAAAATTTTACAAGAATCAACATTCACTATAAAATAGTTGATACTCTTGAAAAGCATTGTATTAATAACATGGGCATGGTTAGTCACTTTGAAGGTCAGTATTAGGATACTTAGATATGCTTCACAACCCCTATATTACATTATACGATGGGATATGGAATTTATTCGCTTAAAAATCGTCAATAAGGTAATCGTCTTCCAATTAAGCATGGCCATTAAGATATGTATACATGCTTATTGTACAAGCGTTGAATTTCAGTTGCCTTTATTTCCAAACGAAGAACTGTTATATTATGCATTGAATTATGATCATTTAATTACATAATACAGTCTTCTTTTTTTATCTTTTATAATACAGTCTTCTAAAGCGGTTTATGTTCTGCAAGAACGACGATGATTCTCATATAAAAAGTATTGTCAGAGAATGAAAGTCTTAGTGGTAATGTAGGTAGAACCACAAGAGTACGTATATGGCATGACAGGCTAGGTATGATTTGAATCTGTCGGCTCCTATAAATTTTGTAAATTTTGTTACCTGGATCGACCAAGTAAATTCAATAAGAAACACCAGAATAAATAACACTGAATGCCTTTAATTTAAAGAAATAGATAATGAATATAGGTATGATAAATAATTTTTGGCCGGGTTGCACTGGTGCAAATCCGGGTTATAGTATGGTGAATGTCGGGCGGTGGGCGGGCAGGCGGGCGGGCGGGGAAAATATTTTCGTAACAGTTTTCTCAGCAACTACTTATTACAGCCTCTTGATATTTGGCATACAGCATAGACACATGGTCCCATACCGTGGGATTTAATTTCAGGTCTGTCGCTTATCCACTTCCTGTTTATCCACTTAGTTAAATTAGTTAGATTTTTCGACATTAATGATCAATGGTAGGAAATGTTCGTAACAGTTTTCTCAGGAACTACTTATCACAGCCTCTTGATATTTGGCATACAGCATTGACACATGGTCTCATACCGTGGGATTTGATTTCAGGTCTGTCGCTCATCCACTTCCTGTTTATCCACTAAGTTAAATTAGTTAAATTTTTCGACATTAATGGTCAATGGTAGGACATTTTCGTAACAGTTTTCTCAGCAACTACTTTTCACAGCCTCTGGATATTTGGCATACAGCATAGACACATGGTTCCATACCGTAGGATTCGATTTCAGGTCTGTCGCTCATCCACTTCCTGTTTATCCACTTAGTTAAATAAGTTAAAATTTTTCAACATTAATGGTCAATAGTAGGAAATTTTCGTAACAGTTTTCCCAGCAACTACTTATCACAGCCTCTTGATATTTGGCATGCAGCATTGACACATGGTCCCAAACCGTAGGATTTGATTTCAGGTCTGTTGGTCATCCATTTCCTGTTCACATTAATGGTCAATGGTAGGAAATTTTCGTAACATTTTTCTCAGAAACTACTAATCACAGCCTCTTGATATTTTGCATACAGCATTGACACATGGTCCCATACAGTGGGATTCGATTTAAGGTGTGTAGCTAATCCACTTCCTGTTTACCCACTGAATTAAATTTTCGACATTTATCGGTCAATGGTAAATTCTTTTCGTAACATCACAGCCTCATGATATTAAGTGTACAAATGCAACCCGGCCTTTTCTGTCTTTGACCCATTTTTTTAACTTCATTTAATGCTTTTTTCCTCCCTTGAATACATTATTAACTATAATAAGTGATAGTTATCAAGTTCTTTAATAAACAGTGAACTTCATATGTTATTCGTTTCTACAATAAACTATTGACTGCATTCAGCTTTTGTTATGTATTCTTTAATAAACACGACCTGCATGTGCCTGTAATTCCATTCTTATTTTATACAGAAAATCATAGATCACGATATAAGATTGTTCTTCTGATAATGTGTTATACTCTACCAGGTAATGTGCTCATTTCTACTTTCGCCAGAATTATACCTTTCAAAATATACGTAAATTCTGCGTGAGCATGTTTTGCGCAAGTTTCATGCAAGAGTGTGATAGCATAAGCAATAACAAAAACAAATTCTAATATTGTACTTGGTTAAAAAATATGTTTAAATAAAACTTTAATTGTGCATATGTAATTTTGCAATTATAGCTCGAGACTGTCTCTTTTTAATTAAGTTAACCCACGACTGCCGGTCAACTATATTCATAAACTTTTCAGCCAATAACATTGCACCATCTGACTTCCGCAATGGATACGCATACATATAAAAATTATGCAATAATTATCTGAGGTGCTATTTGATAATAAGACCATTTTCTAGTAAACAAATACTAAGTATTGTGAATCAATGCGTTAAGTAGTTCAGCATTGTAAATGGGAAAGTTTGACAAGTTTACAAATTAATGTGATCAAATATTCATAACTGCAATTTCGTTTCATTGTAAAACTGTATTTGCGTTGGAAAACCCAAGTTGAACTTATATTGACCTTATATACCGTATTATTTACAAGTTTTGACAGCACATTTTTTCAAATTTACATTCTCTAAATTATTTCTGTCAAGATGGCTGTCATTTTAAGAAATTCCTGTCTTTCCTGCCAGACTGCCAGGACACAGGGAATGTTATGATTGGTCAATTATGACAGTCCTGGCCATTTTAGAGTCAATATAAGTAGCCATGACAGGCTGTTTTCAGTTTGCATTTTGGATTTAAATCCTGACAGGAGCGAAAACCAGTGACAGGAGCATTTGTAATATTTTCAAGGAAAATTTTGTTGTTATATCTAGCAAATCTAGTGCTCTTCAGGGTTGGATAAAGAAATTTTGAAATTTACTTCTATCAGTAAAAGTGGTTATAAAAACAAGTTTTTACTTAGCTTACAATATCAAAGAAGGAATGACAAGGAAAATGATTAGTTAAGTCGTGCATTTTTATTTAATTCATTGATCATACATATTTTTCACAAAATGTTTGGATCTATAAAGACATATAAAATGATACATTTTTGTATTAATCGTCTTAAAATATGCTGAACATACAGTACCCGATTTATGCAGCAACCGCTGCGCCAGTTGCCATAAAAATGAGCCACTTAATCAAAGGGAACAGTGTACTTTTGTTATCTCTATCATTAATAGCTCCTGCTGCTTCAATAACGTTGTCGTCTGCAATATCATCAATGCCGTTTGCATCAAGTATCTTCTTGTGAGCTTAATCCACTTGTAAGGTGTTTGTTACCTTGTTGGAGATATCGGGTTGCCCTGTTTCTGAAAGACAAAATATAATTCTTTCTAGCGATTTAAATTTAATAAATTAATTAATAAAAATTTAATAGTTTAAAGCGATTTAAATCAGAAACGATAGTGCAGTAAGATACAAAACAACGTCAATTCATCTTAGTTGTCATTGAAAACAAGAATATGTACTTGATGGTTTTATGTAGTGTGCAAAAAAAATTACAAGCTTACTCATGTTAAAAAAAGAGAAAAATATAATGGATTATGAAAAAGTGGTTGTATAGAATATTTCATTATTTTATAACACTAAAATTAAACAAAGAATTATTTATGCCTGTTGTTGTAGTTATAGGACATTTATCTGTAGATGTGTTCGGCAAAGCTGGAACTTTTCCTGAAGTTTCATATGCCTTAATGGTCGCAGTGATGCTGCCGTGAGAAATCTCC